GTCAAACGTGACAGTTCACTCCATTTGAAAAAACATAGGTCACGTGATGTACACTTTTCCTGCATTTCCACCAAACAAGTTTCCCTTAGCTCCCGCCTAATGCATCAATACAATTCAACCATGTACAAACTTCGAGAGAAATATTTTTCATTCACATGAAAGCAGATGATGCCGGTCTGTCGCTATTAACCGGATTTGGGATTGGCCTAAACCTGGGACGTTTCAAGAGGTCTCAGCAAGGCGTGTTGTGCGGTCCAGTTTGCGCTGCCTGCGTTAGTGCCTTTAGTAACATCTGGGAAGGGGCTGTTTTTTGGCGCCACCTGGGTGTATGTGGAGCTGTGGGATACCTGCAATTACAACTGCCGACATCATTACACTCAACTGGTTGGGCAGCAGAATTACGATAGAATCATGGACTAAGGTGACATGCTCTTAACAACAATACCACTTTCCCCTGCAATGGCACTTTTAAGCCACGTGGATAGGGCAGCACGATTAGCCTGTTACTTCAAGTCAAGTTATGGATATCGTTCCTAAGTATTCTTCAAATCCTTTTTGCAGGACAACATACTTTTTTGAACATTAAAAGCTGCCCTTCACATACTTTTGGGAGTCCACATAAATAAAATGGATAAATAAAAGTGATAACAATCTGGGAAGTTCATTTAAAAGAAATGAAATTTAAAGGCCTTCAGAATCATAACCACAAACATTGTCTCGGACTTGCCACAACCAATTCAAAGGGATCTAATTATTTTGCACGCGCCAAAAACTGCAATTACACTCCACATTCAATTAAAATATGATTCGGCTGAGGCAGAACAATTTAAATATTAAAGATACAAAAAAATATGTAACTGTTAATACCATCTCTCTGTGTGTGTGTGCTTATTATTTGGGTGATATTAATGTTACCGATGTGTTTCTTACAGTGATATTGTGGTTCCTTGTTCTAATTAACCCACAATGTTGGGATAATAATGTTGTTTCACGGATGATCTTTATTGGCTGAAAACAAGAGAATAGAGGTTTGGTTTCATCTCGATGCGGCTCAGTTACAGCCCTTCACCTGGGTTAGTCCAAGCCTTGTTCCAGAGATGAGCATTATCTCTCTGGATCGGTCCGCATGTATCCACTCCTCTGGGGGGTAAGTGCTCGGTGTTAAACAAAGAACAGCATTCTCGCGCAGTCGGGACGCAGTGAACTGTGATATGCTTTACATCATAAATACCATTCATTTGGGAAGCGCTTGGTGTGGATTGATGAACATTGTGGAGTGTTAGCACACGCGTGCCAAATGGAACTTATGATTGGGTGAAATTAAGAATGAATGCCAGCCATTCTCTTAATAGCCTGGCTGCAGTGGGCATTCCACCATCAGCAACTTCCAGTCCAATTTTGTAGGGTAGGAGAGTGTTGTCGTGTAGTGTGTGTGTGTGGTGGGGGGGGGGTGGGGGCTGCCAATGGTTCTAGTCTGTGGAATAGCCCACATAAAATATGTGTGTTCTCTATTCCAAAAAAGTAAGGCCAGGTGAAGTTGATATTTTTTTTTTCGGACATACTTAAGTATATATATGCCACCCTACAATAAATGTTGTATTGTAACATTATTCAGCCGTAAATATGATAGATGTAATTAAGGATTAATTTTAAAATCCGTCCTCCATGCTACAACATACCTATCATGATATAGGTGAAACAGAATCAAAGGACCTTATAACTCATTGGCCACCTTCTACACCCGGGACCCCCCCCGCCCCAAAAAAAAGGAATTATTATTTAAATATATTATGTCATTGGACCAGAAGTTATGCTTAGCAGATGGGTGAAATGTGCAGCATACACGATAAATGCCAGCTGAAAAAAAAAAAAATTGATGAGTAAGGTAAAAATTAATTATCTTGAATATAGCTTTTGTGCACATTATATTGTGGTGCCCTGGAGTATGGAGATTGTAGCGACATGTTTGAACATGATGAGTGGAAGAGCCAACTCTCATTCCTTGCCATATGAAGGTAGAGCAGCACTGGCCCAAGCCCAAGCTGAGCCTCTTGCTGTCAGCTAAGGCATTTTTTATTCAGGACTGTTTAAGGCCGTGAAAACAAGGGACATGCATCAGCGGCGTCCATTTTCAGTGGATAAAAACGAGTCAAGGAAGTATTTTCACTCTTTAAATCACTTTATGTATGTAAATCCGGTTGAATGGATAGGGACGTGGGCGGGATAACTCCAGCAAACTGGGTGTGACCAAACGTCGACATCTGCCGCCCTCGTCATTGTCTCCATCACCAGACGGCTCAGGAAGTCAGCCATAAAAACGGGTTTTAATAATTCTTTAGAAAGAAGCCGCTTTGCGCGCCGACATAACTTTATGTTTGCGGAGCATTGCGTGACAGGACTGCCTTGTAACAGGAGCTGGAACGCGGCACAGGCTAGCACATCTTTAGTGCTGACTAGCCATCACTCAACAAAAAGCCACAGGATCTTTTACAAACTTCCTGGTCTTGTTTAGCGCTTTGTATTTGAGGGGTGAGTGGCTAACCTATATTGCGGTTGCTTTCCACGTGTTCAAACAGCGTGCGGTTTACTGTGGGGGGCAGGGGGGGGGGGGCACTATTAATTCACTACATCTTCATCGTATCAACGCGCAAAGATATAATAATATAATAACCCCGAACCGAGTGTGTGTCTCTCAGTAGTTAATGACTGAACACAGAGCACAGAAGCTGTAACACGCTGACTTTACGGTGACAACACAACACTTTATCCCATCTTAAATGGGATACACGTTTGTGTGTGCCTGTTCCGCAGCCCGCCAACTCACCAACACCACTCACAACATCACCAATCCGCCTCAAAGCCACCAAAGCCTGAGGAAGCATGTCGCATTTATATGTGGGCTGTCCGCTGTTCTTTAAGGCATCTGACTCAGATCAGTACACCCGGACAAACCTTTGATGTTTCCCTGCAATGATGCTACTAACACAACCGAGTCCCGCTATTGCGAAAACACAGCCCGGAACGCAGTTGGAAAGCTAGGCATATTAATGTTCTCTTGTTTACCAGCAAGGGTACACATGTATTACGGTGTAATTTAGGGCATATTGTGGAGCAGTCTGAGGTGCTTTACATTTCGGCATACATCCAAAACACCGAGTGGCACTTGTTTCATTGAAATGTTAACTTTTATAAAGGGTTCGCTCGTCGGTTTAATAGTCTCCCCACCTAAATCCAGCCGGGTGGCCGACTGCGAACGAATTCTCAAAAACTGAGATTAAATGGCAAATAACTGCTGATTCATGAGCTATCTTTTGCGCCGAATGTATCAAAAAAGGCACAATATTGCTGATACATCTCGCATTGGGCTGTAAAGCACACGAATCTTTGACGCGGATACGTTCAATTAAATGCACAGAGTTTTGAATGGAGTTTGCTGTAGCGGATCCTCAAACTGCACGTTGTTCAGGGGCTGCTGCATATTCCACTTCAACGCACCGCTGTTCTCTGTGATTTACAGCAGTCCAGGCTCCGCTCGGAACAACAAGCCACAAAAGTAACCAAGCTAGCGGACTGACCGAGCAAACACCCCTTTAAGCAGGTCAAATGTATCTTACTATGGCTCCTAAACGACAGAAGACCACACTATTTGTTCTTTTCACTACAGAATTGGCTACATTCAAGAGTTGGCAGCTGTGTATGTAGCGGCAACGCGATTTATAACGGTGAGCTGACCAAAGTGATGTGTTCTTTAAGGCAGCGTATCTGTAACGCCTGTTTGTGGGCTCTACATGGCAGACACTCATAAATCCGCTCTTTCCTTTCTGTATTTCAACTTTACGGACAGTTTCGGCTTTTCTTACTCAACAACATCACACACATCCAAACGCTCTGCCGCGCACGTTCACATCAAAGAAATTGCCCCGCTGATATAAATGTAACACTCCTCCATCTACATCCACGGGGGGAATCTGACGGGGAAGTGTGTACTCCATTTAGGCATCAAAGGAAAAAGTCCTACCTTTGTGAAGAGCCGCTTGAAGCATGAATAAAAAGAGAATAGTCGCGAGAGAGCCGCTGCCAGTGTTCGCCATGTTGGACACCTGCTTCAGTATGGCAGAGAGAGGCAGCTTCACCTATAGCTACAACGGGACTCACTTAATGAGATGCGAGAGAGGGAGGGCACTATTTACCATATTCATTTCATTCTGTTTCATAAATCGTGTTACTTGTAATGGACGTCTCTTAGATTCTACAACTCTTGCAATGTTCTTAGATGGGAAAGAAAATAAATACAATTCTTGGTGCTTCTCAGTGCTTTTTAAGGCTGTGTTGTACTGCAGGAGTGGTTAGTAGGGGAGGTGTGTGTGTGTGTGTGTGTGTGTGGGTCCCATCATTGTGATGGGAAAACGGGTCTTTGCATGCTCAGGCATTTTTTGACTAAATAGATTTTCAGAAAAATATATTTCTGGCATTTCAAAAACTGCAGTGATTTATTTGCCCACAGGTAGCAGGTAATATTTCAGATAAACAGGGCCAGTCATAGTATTTTTGAGGCCCCAAGGCTGCCTCCCCCCCATTTGTCACCTGCACTCCCTTGATTTAGGAGAGAATCTGTGCAGTCAGAACAGTGACTTTAATTTTTGGCATTGAAACCAAACCTGAACAGAAAAAGGAAACATTGAAACGCTTGAATTGGAAAAAAGTGTATTTTATTTTAATATTTTTGTATTCTGATGTGTAACAATCTTTAGATTTGTTCTATATGTCTGTCTTTTTTCATAGTTTTCTTATGCTGTAAGTTTCTTTCACTGTCATTGGTTATTAGTTTTAAATTTCCTGTCACTGTTTTGGCGTGGAAATGAGGGGTTTGAGGAGGAGGACAAGGACGGTGTGAATTACATATAATCTGCATAGAAAAAGCTTTGAAGCAAGTTTGACATAGCAGCCAAACCGCAGAATTACAGCAGCTCATAATTACTCTTTCCCATTAGCTTACATTGTGGAAGAAGTGGCTGTAAAACAGTGTATATTTAAATTTTTTAAAATCATTTTACCCGCATTCAAGTTGGTAGAGGACTAAATCAGCCGACAGAAGTCTCTGGTGTGCGTGCTCTATGGGCCAGCTATAGGTTTTTCATATAGAAAATTGACTTTTTTATGTTATGCATGTCTGGCAGCAGTCCACTGGAACAAGTGCTAATGTTAGCTATCATAATCAAAGCTAACGTTGTACCTCAGTAAGTCTCTGGCATGACCGCACACCTACGGCGATGGCTTTCACAAGTTCACCTGGAACGCCCAAACAGCAACCAAGTCTGTTTCTCACACAGAACCTAACATTAGCTATGATAGCTGTCATTAGCTAACGGGCATCCTTCCCTCCCTCCACGCCGAAGAGGTGACAGAAAGTTAAAACTTTAAACCAGAAATGAAATGAACTCATTTTCTACGCTGATTATTGTTCAGTGATTCTAATAATGTTTTTAGCCTTATGCAGTGTGAAGAGCACAATGCCAGTGTTTTGTTTCAGTTCAGTGCCAATACTTGTTTCAGTACCAATACAACTTTTTCCAATACCAGTGTTTCAATGCCATTGTTTCTTTTTTCAGTTGTTTTCGATGCCAGATTTTTTTTTTTTTTTTGATGCCAAAGTCACTGTTTTGGCTCCGTAAGAATCGAGCGGTGGGCTGGATTAACGGAGCAGAAAGAGAGTGGGACTGGTGGATCCTTCGAGGCAGCCGACCTGGAGAGCTGGACAGCCTGGTGGGAGCGGGTCTGATGTTGGTCTCATTCACTCTTTGAAGGAAAATCAATACTAGCATCACTTCTTCCTTTGTTGCCCACAGCTGTACTCACCTACCAAACAGTGCATTGTAATGACAACATTTGTCCCAATGTTGCCTTTTTTTAATATGTATATCCAAAATATTCTGGTTGGTAAAACACAAGGCAGAACCTCCAAAAAGTTACAAGTTCTCAAAGGGACCATTCCTTTCCCACAATGGAAAAATGCATTTGTTGTTTTTCTTTCTTGCAAAACTTTGTCCCCAAGCAGTAACTATGACTTTGCCATCCTCTCACTTATGATGAGAAAAATAAAACTGGGTTCAAATTCTGGGTACACACAGTTTTCCAAGCTGATATAGTGAGACCAGAAGTACGCAGATTGCTTCAAGATTAAGTACTTCAGGATGTCTGTAGGCCATTTTCCAGTTGCTAAAATGACTACAGTTGCTCATCAAAACATAGAGGACAATTAAAGTAAGGTGCAGAGACATTTTTCACAGGTTATTGAAAGGCTGAAATTACAATTTGCAGTTTTGTTATGGTTATTAAGATTCCTTATTATTTAATTTAATACACTATAAGCTTTTACTTTAGCTTAGATACACACATCAGGCTGGCCAAGATCCAGCAGCTTGCAGAAAATCACCACACATAGCTAGAACCTAATTCAATGTGTCACATAAAGTTCTTTTATAAATACATAGTTGGAGCTCTTGAGCCTTGGTTTTGAAAAATGCAGAAAGTCAGGGCTGTTTCAAAAGCACTAATGGCTAGAAGCAATTTTCAGATGTGGAATGTCAACCTAACTAAACATGAAGTCACAGTTTTTTCTTTTAATGTTGAAAACATGCTGCATTGATGCAGTAGTCTTCAAGTCATCAAAGTAAAAGGCTGAGACAGAACAACAATGGACAAAGACAGAAAGAGAAGGAAAAGACAAAAACTAACCAGGTAAAATAATAAGCTACTTTATATGGAGTGCCATCAAAATTAATGCATTTTAATTAAAGAATACTATAGGCAGAATTTGGACATCAAACTTGCCTAAACTGACATTTAATTTTTGACAAACAGATGCTATATGTAATTACATCTTTTGTCTTTTCAAAAATAGGTGAGAGCTGGAAATAAAGAGCTGGAGCGATCGACTGGTAAATAAAGACTTTCAGTTCCAGGCTCAGATTCCTCTTCACCACAGCAGTGTGTTACAGCGTCCACATTAGTACTGACACAGCATCAATCCACCTGTCGATCTTATGTTCTATCTTATTCTCTCTCATTAGCAAGACCTCAAGAGTGTGCTATCCTGATATTTGGAGCACACCCTCTGGTCCCCCCCCAAAAAAATGCCAACCACGGTATCAGTAGTCTTTCGGGCCTCCCGGTACCTGTCTGCTGCTTCAGGAGTTCCCTTAGCTAACTAAGCCCGAAAGCCTTCTTCAGCTTGACGGCATCCTTCACTGGTGGTGTGCACTAGTGGATTCTTTAGTCACTGCCATGACAGGCATTGATGACCCTCTGGCCGAACTCCAAGCAGCCGCCTCCGCAATAGAGGCCTTGAACGTGGCCCACTCACATTCTGTGTCCTCTACCGCCCAGGATGCAGGAAGATTTCTTCCTGAGGTGGGAGCTGGTGAAATAGTGGACAGGGTCCTCAGCTAGACATCCCCAGTTCATGCTCACAACTATTTTGAGTTTACCAGATCTGCATGGAAGCTCCCCCCATCCACCTTACCTCCAGGGGATGATCAGTTGAGAGCATCGGCCCTTTCTTTAGCAAATGTTGAAGGCATACAG